CAAACTGGCATGCTGCTATGTGTGATGAATATAATGCCTTGATCAAGAATGAAACATGGGAATTAGTACCCCCCTCCCCCACCCAAAACATAATCTCAGGAAAATGGCTCTTCAGACACAAACTTGGCCCATCGGGTGAGTTATCCAGGTTCAAGGCCCGTTGGGTGGTCCACGGTTTCAATCAGCGCTTTGGCATCGACTACGACGAGACCTTCAGCCCCGTTGTCAAACCTACTACAGTTCGCATCATCCTTAGCCTTGCTCTGTCCAGAGGATGGCCCATTCACCAGCTAGACGTCAAAAATGCCTTCCTCCATGGTCAGCTACAGGAGACAGTATACGCCAGTCAGCCTTCCGGGTTTTAGGATCCCAGCCGACCTCATCATGTATGCCGACTCAAGAAGGCCCTCTATGGGCTCAAGCAGGCACCACGGTCGTGGTATCACAGATTTGCCAGTTTTATTCAGACTACTGGGTTCCGCGGGTGCAAGTCGGATACATTTCTGTTTGTCTTCTCTCACACCATGGGCACCGCTTACCTACTACTGTACGTTGATGATATTGTACTCACAACATCCTCCACTGCCCTTCTCCAGCATCTCATCCAGCGGCTAAATGCTGAATTTGCTATGACAGACATGGGAGATCTACACTTTTTCGTCGGCATTAACATACACAGGATGACCAGTGGCCTATTTCTCCACCAGACACAGTTCACTCATGATATACTCGAGCGGGCTGGGATGGTCTCTTGTCGCCCTATCTCCACCCCTGTGGACACAAAGGCAAAGCTCTCCTCCTCGTCAGGCACTCTGCTCCCTGATCCTACTCTTTATCGATCCGTTGTTGGAGCATTACAGTACCTCACATTTACTCGTCCTGACATCACTTATGCCGTCCAGCAACTTTGCCTACACCTTCATGCACCTCGTGATGCTCATCTCACAGCCATGAAGTGTGTCCTACGATATCTCAGTGGCACCTCCACCCATGGCATTCACCTGGCGCGCTCCTCTAGCGACTCACTGCAGGCTTACTCTGACGCTGACTGGACCGGTTGCCCAGACACCCGACGCTCCACCTCTGGATACTGTGTCTTTCTTGGTGATAACCTAGTCTTACTCTGTCTTTCTCGTTCGAGTGCAGAAGCTGAGTATCGCGCTGTAGCCAATGCCATTGTAGAGACGAGCTGGATCCGGAATCTACTACTTGAGCTACAGCAACCCCTTCGCCGTGCCACCCTTGTCTTCTGCGACAACGTCAGTGCTGTGTATCTATCGACAAATCCAGTACAGCACCAGCGCACCAAATACGTGGAAGTTGATATTCACTTTGTCCGTGACAAAGTAGCACTCGGTCATGTCCGCGTTCTCCACGTTCCCTCGTCTTCGCAGTATGCTGATATCTTCACTAAGGGACTGCCATCTTTACTATTTCTGGACTTCAGACAAAACTTGGGAATCAGACCTCCCCCACATCCGACGTAGCCAGGAGCATGTTAAATATATTGTATATATTTAATATATTGTATTATTCTTTTACCTTATTTGTATAGGTTTCCTTACCTGTGTCTCTCCTCCCTTGTTTAGGATTGAGACTCCTCTTATATATATACATGTAACCACAACCTATTCAATAAATGAAAATTATTATTCTTCATGGTGATAATTTGCGACTCGGAGTAATCCAAAAAAATTTCTTGAATATCCTCGCGGAAAGAAATTAAGGGTGCAGAATCTATGATCCTCAGACAGGAAATTTTTTTTCTCTAGTGATGTTTATGATTGTGAAGATATATTTTTATTTTTGTCTATTTTAAGAGATACACACGAGACACCAACTTTGCCCCGTGCAAATTGTCAAGCATGATGATGAGGAGGACGACCTGAATGGGGTCTCTAT